GTTGAGTGTGCCATCTAATAAATAGTGTCGTCATTCTCCTTAGCTGCTTTTAAATGATGTCGTCACAAATTGCTGGCGGAGACATGAATACAGTGTAAGAAAATTCTTTTTCTATAATTGTTTCCTTATAGAAAGGTTGGTTTCTTTTCCACCTTAGACATTCCGAATTCGTTCAAAATATGCTAATTTAAAACACAGAATTCTTTCAGTGTTCCTCCGGGGTTTTGGACATGTACTGTTTCATCAATTTAATAGTGTTCGCTTTATTTTTGTGGAAACGAAAAATGTTTTGCAAGTTATGGATCATTTCTACACTCTTTCTTCAAATATTTCTCGTATTCCAGCTTTGCGCAGGCGTTTAGTTTTTCGCGTCGTGTTTTTACATATTCGTAATTTAAATTTTTTTAATAAAATCAATTGGGGGTAGTTCATGATTGTGTGTGGATTAATATCACAACACTGAGGATTTGGCAATAACCTTTTTCATCTATTAAAAAACAACACTTACGGGGCAATGTTTATTGCAAGAACAAAATTTTTTTCTATGAACCGACATACTTTAAGCATTGTTGACGCGATTTCCATTTGAATGAGGAAATAGCGTCAATGACTTTATTTCCAAATTTTTGTTGACTTTATTTCACTTTTGAAAAGGTAATAATGTCAATTGGCTTTATTTCGCACCAGGGTGGGCATACACTGAAAATAAAATTTCCTAAAAGTGCTACGAAAACCTTTCGTAGTGTTGGTTTTTGTACAATGTATAAAACTTTCGTTCATAATACGAACATATTTTTCACAACGAAACAAGATTTTACGAACCATACGTAAATATAACGAAAGGACTTTCATAAGGCATTTTTTCAGTACAGTTTACGAAATCTTACGTTTATTTTACGAAACACATTCGTAAAGCACTGAACAAATCTCTGTACGAATAATTTTGTATATTGTACGAAGGCATTCGTAATATTTACGTAGGGTTTTAAATTTACGAAATCTACAATTCCGTATTCGTACAATTTAGTTAATACTTTCGTATAAAGTACTAATGCAGAAAAATGTTTTTTTAATTCGTACAACGAAAATTTTCGTACAATATACTCAATTGCCGGCAGTTTAATATTTCATCATATTTTTATGTATCGCGTGTCATTGCGGAATTACTTGTTGTTAAACGTTTTAAAAAGGGATTTGCTGGATAAAAAACAATATAAAATTAAATATTAAAGCTGTGGATATACTATGCTTTTAAGCATACAATGTTTTTAACATCGCCTACGCTGCGCCTTGCGCTGCAATCAACGGCAAGCCTAAGCCAGGAGCACTACGTAATGTAATTAAAAGTAAGTACATGTATGACTTCACTGAAACTTGCGTTTCAGACGCCTTATAATTTTCCTTTAATTTATAGTCGTCAAGGAAACAAACATCGATGAAGCTGCGAATCTGTCAAGTGCCTCTACATAAAAATATTATAATGTTTAAGAAAGTAAAACCAGTATTTTTTATATTCTTTCATATTTTATATCTTATTATACCCGAGCGCACTTGTGTACAAAGGTATATTAATTTTGTTCACATAACGGTTGTTTGTAACAGCCAAAACGAATCGAGATAGATATAGACAAATATATACATAAATGCTCAGAATGAATAGAGAAATCGATTAAGCCATGTCTGTCTGGCTGTCCGTCTGTCCGTCCGTCCGTGTACGCGATAACTCGATCAAAAATTGAGATATCTCAACGAAATTTGGTATGTAGGTTTCCGTTAATCCAAGGTAGGTTGGTATGGGCGAAATCGGACTGTAACCACGCCCACTTCCCATATAACGGTAATTTCCAAAAATACGAAAACTGCGATATTTTAGTAACTACTAAAGATAATTCACTAAAAATTAATATTTACAGTAATTTTCAGACGAAAAATAAGAATATTATTAATTTTTGGAAAATGGGTGTAGCCTCGCCCACTTATGGTTACATGTGTATATCTTGGTAACCGCTGCACCGATTTCTTCCAAACTTGGCACAGTTGTTGGCCTTGATACAGCATACTAAATGGCCGAAAATTTTAAAAATCGGACAATAACCACGCGCACATCCCATATAACGGTTATTTAGAGAAATACAAAATCTTCAATAAATCAGTAAATATTAAAGCTTATTTATTCAAAATTGATGCTTGCAACAATTCTTTACCAGGAAATACGTTTATGGTAAAATTTAGGAAAATGGGCGTGGTACCGCTCACTTATGATCACATATATGTATATCGGTAACCGTTCTACCATTTTGTACCAAACTCGGTATTTTTATTGTGCTTGCCACAAAAAAGAAAAACGTTGAAAATTATTGAAATCGGACTAAAATTACGGCCGCTTTTCATATAACGGTAAATTTCAGAAATGCTTGAAACTGTAATATTTCGAAATTTAAAGACGCTAATTTACTCAAAATTGATACACCCCGGCTTACCATCTAGCGGTAGGTTTCGGAAAGGTGAAAAAAATATATATTTAATACTTGCGCCGGGTATTTAATGTTCGGCTCCGCCCGAACTTAGACTTTCTTACTTTTTATAGTTAGTTTTGTTGAGTCTCATAGTTTAACACTTTGCATCAATATACTTTATTGAATGAAGCCTAAGCAATAAAAAATATGTAGTATAGAACCTATTCGTATGCATATAAATAAAAGACTTAAGTTTTATTATAGGTAATATAACCTTTTTTATTAATTCTACTGTGTAGTCAGAAAATTCTTCTTATTTCGTAGAACGTAGATTCCTTTTATTATTAACACTATAAAAAAACATGACTAAAAATATAGCACAACACTTTCATTAATGTTAAGCGTTTTTTGCAAAATGTTTTGTTAAACAAAAACGCCTAAAATTAACGATAAAAACAAAATAAAAGTGGTGTGTTATAATTCGTAATATGTTTTTTACAGTGTGGAGAATGAAAGCAAAATCGCACATTCTACGAAACAAGCGCAGATTTTTCGAAAGTAATTTCGTTAAATATACGAATTATTTCTGTGCATTTTACAAAAATTTCGTAAAAAAATAAAAAAAATAGTACGATTTTTTTTAGTAAATAGTACGAAATTCGTTAGTAAATAGTACGAATACTTTCGTAAAATGTACTAAAAATCCGATGCCTCATATTTTCGTAGTATGTACGAAAACGGTTTTGTACAATCAACGAAAACTTTCGTGGCTCAAAATGACGAAAAATTTCGCAAGATTTACGCAAGTTTTCGTTATATTTACGCAGGTTTTATTTTCAGTGTATCTGTAAAGTTCTTTATATTCCTTTGATAGAGTTTATGAATACAATTGTAGGAAAAAACCTCAAAGATCTATTATTGGCTTTTCATTTAACTATTTGAAGTTTAACATATTATTTTTTGTATACAGGTATATACAGTACTCACCTCTATCTATTGCAATAACTGGAAATTCATATGAGCTTCGTTTCTCATAGTCTAACTCGCTGGTAATGCAAATCTCACCCGCAGCAGAACGTACCTCAAAATCAGCAAGCTGTTTGATGCCATTGCCCAGTGTATAATTGACTATCGCATTAACGCCACAATCTGGGTCACTGGCTGACACCTGCAAGCAGAGAAAAAAGTAAACGATTTCTAATGATAATCCGCTTAATAGAATATTTTATAATGTCTTTTTGAAACGATTTCCTAGTTTTTCTCTTTTAAGTAATATTTTTCGTTAGAGAGAAAACAGCAGACAATATTCGCCAATGATTCATTCCCAAAGCCATTCTTTGTATGAAATAAAATAAACAAATAAGTTATGGAAATAGTAAGCTGGTCTTAGAATTAGGGCTGAAGATTTGACTCAGGTAATCAGCTACCAGGACAGTATAGTAATTACCAGGGAACGGATTTTATGGAAATTGCCTTTTTTTCTGCTAAAGAGATAGAGTATATTCGATTAAGAATGTCCACGATTTAGCTTTCCCTGATTCCATATATACACATTTGATGTTGCCTTTTTTTGCCTTTTTTAAGATATTTGCCTTTTTTTTGCCTTTTTTTAATATATTTGCCTTTTTTTGCCTTTTCTACCTTTAGAAAAGTGATTATAGCATTTACAATTTTTTTTTTTTTTTTAGATTAAAAAATATACACATGCCCATGCGGCTTATAGAAGCTCAAGGACCTCTTGCCAAATTAGTGTTGAAAAAATTCAAAGCCGTTTTCTCAGCTAACGTAGGCTTGAAGACAAAAAGGGGTGTGGATAAAATTGTAAAGTGCGAGGAAAACGCCCTTATTCCTGATAATATGAACGTTTCAAACGTTCCATATTTAAATTGGGATCCCTTGTATCAACTTACGTCGATCGCACATTTAGTACATTCAAGGCTTTTCTTCGCGAAAATCGAATCAAAATGCTGCCAGAAAACTTCAAAATGCATCTTGTAGTTCAATGTTACTACAACTATACAGACTAAAGTTTTATGAGTTAGAAACTCGAAAGGATAAAATAGTCAAAGATTCAAAGTACAAATTTTTCATATAATGAAACTAGTTCATAGTTTTTCTCTTTTTACTTGTAATATAAACATTTCTAAAAAAATATATTTTTTGATTGTTCTTCGTATTTTCTGTCTTTTTTAGCGCCTTATTTTGCTTTTTTGCAATACCTTTTTTTTTGCCTTTTCCTGCCTTTTTCGCTATTTTATTTTGCCTTTTTTTGCCTTTTTTACAATACCTAGTGCCTTTTCCTGCCTTTACCGCTATTTTATTTTGCCTTTTCCAGCCTATTTCGTTACTTTATTTTGCCTTTTGTATAAGTTTTTAGGTCCTAAAAATCCGTTCCCTGGTAATTACCCAAGTTACCGGACACCCGAACAATGTAGATATGTAAGACTTAAGCGCATTTACGAGTATATACCGCAAACGAACGTACATAGGAAAATTTTCCATACCATATGGTGAAAAATTGTATTATATATCCGCATCTAAAGGTAGTAGCAATAATTTTACGACTGCACAGGTATTATTTGGAACTGCATTTATAATATCTTTGGAATTTGGAAGTACAATGGTGAAGGTGAAAGAGAATAACAAGTGTGTATATAATTAAAATTCGGGTAAAGCCGTATATTACAAGTAGATACTCATCTGCAGATAGAAGTTATTTTCAGATGCTTTGCGAGAGCTGTATTCCTGACCCTGTAAGCCGTGACTAAATATGACTATACGTTAGTTTTGGAGGAGTTTGAACACATCCAAATCTTTTGGTTTCAAGGAGAAATGGTGAATTATACATTTAAAGTCAGATAAGCGCCTTTCTGAGCTTGATGAAGAGGCGGGAATGGTAAGACATATCTTCGCTAAAGACACAACCTTGTCTAGGGTGTGTTCCCTGGAGAATTTTTATCTGTCAGACGATATAAAACTTAAAACTCTTAGTTACACGCTAAGGCGCGCCGTCGAAAAGAAAAACCCCCGGGTTTATTTCTGCCATGAAAAACAGCTTCTTATCGTCGTTAAAAGTACAAAACCGCGCTTCAACAAAATGCAAAACCTCGTATCGAAAGAATGCGAAACTGCGTATGTGAGGTTGCATAAATTATTTTCAAGAGAGTAAAAACACTCATATTTTAAAGTGGTTCTCTTTTTTATAAAGCATCGCATTTCTGGCCAGTATATTTCAGGACGAAGGGATAAGGATTGGATGGAAGGAAGGAGTTTGTGTGAGCAAATCCAATTTTTTAAAACAGTACGTATATCCCCTTTGCGTGACGACGTTAAGGCGCACATCACAAATCCGAGGAGAAGCCAGCCTATTATTATTAATACTTGAAAACTTTCTGTAAACGACCAGACCCATCCGATGGTTAAACATCCCTCGATCACCCTTCATCTGTATGTGCACAGTTGTACTTTAGTTGTCGAACGGAGCGAATGAGTAACCCCTTTTTGAGTCTATGTACCCTGTAGTCAAATGTACTAGTTGTAAACTACCTCACAACTAGTATGAACCGCATGCCCAACTAGTCAGCCAACTATCTTTTTTCTACGCAATCAACTGGTATTTTTAACATGGGGATGTTCTACAAGATGGCAATTGTCAGATTTCGGTCAGAAATATACCAGTCTCATACTAGTTCAAAACAGACAGAAAAATACTAGTCCAATTATGGACCAAAACCGCTACTTTGGAAGTCAAAAGATTAAATGAATTCATGAATATACAAGGAAAGACTTTTGATTAAGTACACTTTAAAATATTACACATTTTTATTTAGCAGCCCTAGATTTGCCAATAATTAGTGTAAAATTTTTTGAGTATTAATTAAAAGGAAAAATAAATTTCAATACATTCGAACATAAATTTAAAGGCATTTTCCATTAAATGACATTAAAAGTAAAAGCTTTCAGGTACAATAAATACTACATTTTTATCTTTTTTTATTAATATGGAAAAGAAAACATTTTAGTTAAAAATAAAACGAATACTTTAGTTCAATTTGTATGAACCAAAATAAAAATAAAAGTTTTCATTGAAATAAATTAAATTCATTAACTTTGCACATTTCAGTCATTTCGTTTTAAAAATTGTTTAAAGTAATAATTAATGTTTAAAATTTGAGATTTGGATAAGAATAAAATAACTATATAATTCAAGCAGTTAATAAATATTCCTAATTTTTTTCTATACTTTGGCTTGTTGATTGATAATTAAAATTAATCAAATAATTATATTAATTTTTAATTAAAAAGAGTCAAAAATAATTGAAAATGATCAAAAATAACAAAATAATGATGTAATTAAAATTAACGAATTAACTAAAAAAATTGTTTCAGTACATAATTATTAATCATTAAAAAGGTGCTAATATCGGTATTTAACCATTAAACGGTTATTCAAAAAAACATGCTTTAATTAAAAATCATTATGAATATTAATCATTATTTAACAAGTATGGTATAATTACGAGTACGTACTCGCTTTAACGGTTTACAATATACCCAAATAAAAGTTATAATATTTTGTGTACTCTATTGTATTCAACTGTCGAAGTTAAATAAAACAGGGCATGAATACATAAATACGTTTTGTACTTGGTACAAGTCTGGTGATTTACGAACGAGTTCGGTTGCAGTCAGGAGATTACAGTTGCAAACTAGTTTTTTTCTTGACTAGTTTGGCGTTTCACTGCAGGGTATGTGTAGCATTCACACATTTATTTAAACCAAACGCAAATAAAATTAACCTAACCGCAAATCAATTTATCCCAAACGCAAATTAAATTAAGCCAAACGCAAATTAATTTAACACAGACGCAAATTAATTTAATCTAAAAGTGTGTTTGCATTGTTCAACTTTGCGTTCAACATTTGCGTTCAACTCAGCGCAGGGTTGCACGAAAAAAAAGTTGAATGGCTAAAAATATCAAAATATGAAAAAATATCAAAATATTCGCCATAAAAAGGTGTTTGCATTGTTCAACTTTGCATTCAACTTTTGGTTGAATGGCCTTTCAACTAATCGCTTTCAACAAAGTTGGTCGCCAGCCAACATTTAGCCATTCAACTTTTTTTTCGTGCAACCCTGCGTTGAGTTGAACGCAATTGTTGAACGCAAAGTTGAATAATGCAAACACTGCTTAAATGCAAATTAAATTAAACCAAAGGCAAATTTTATTAATCCAAATAGAAAGCTGTCTGCCGCTGTGGTGTAGTGGTAAGCAGTGCGCGCTTTCACTCCGCAACGCCTGGGTTCAAGCCCTGGTCAAAGCAACATCGCAAAAAAAATATAGAAAAAAGGTTTTTTCTTAACAGCGGTCGTCCCTCGGCATGCAGAGGAATACCAAAGTAAGTGCATAATTTACTTATTCATATAAAGAGTTTAGCGGATTTCCCCAAAACGGTATATGAAAACCTCCCCTCTTCATATACCGTACATCAAATAAATCCGAGCAAAAATATATACCCAATATAGTGTACTATGTAGCACAAAAATTATAATCACATATATCTGTATATATAAATGTGAATGTCTGTTTGTTTATTACCTTATAACTTTTGAACCACGACACGGAATCGCACGAAACTTTGCAGACTTATTTGTTTTTACCCCAGGAAGGTTATAGGTGTGGTTTTATTTGCAAATATGTCGTAAATTTCGCAGCTGTAACTTCGGAACCATAAGTCAAACGGGAGACGTTTATGGTAAGGTATATATAAATTAGTTTCTAAAAAGGGGCGTGGCATATAACATAGGCATGGAATTTTGTTTCAGCTATAACTTCGGAACCATACGTCGCATGAATTTGAAATTTGATATGAGGTCATATCCATGGTTACAAGGTTATTATAAGGCTTATATAAATGAGTTTATAAAAGGGGGCGTGCCACATCCAGTAGGTTTTGAAGTTTAATCAGCCATAACTTCGTAACCATAAGTGCTTCGTAACCATGGTAGCTTCTTATAGTAAGATAAAAATAAATGAGTTTATAGAAGAGGGCGTGGCTCATCTCATAAGTCACATGAACCTGAAATTTGGTACGCAAACATATCTATGGTAGGTGCTTATAGTAAGGTATATATACATGAGTTTGTAAAAGGGGGCGTGGACGTTTTCTTCAGCCATATCTTCGGAACCACAAGTCACGTGACGCCTTTAATTCCTTCTGATATGCCTTTCCAATTTAAAAAGCTTCAGTTTCCAGTTCGCTTAGATTTTGCAATGACAATAAACAAGAATGCCTTAAAATAAACCCAACTCTTTATCGATAATAAAATGTATGTTAAATGCATTGGAAAATGCATCTATGTTAATAGATGTTTTGAAGTACTAGAAAACAAGCTGTGGAATAATATTAGGGTTATTATTAGTAAGAAATTAGATAGTTAACATTTAGTTATTACAATACAACGTTGGTATTTCTACTATTATTTAATTTATTGGAGATATTTTAATATAAATAAAAACACCTGATTTGCCAAAAACGTATTACTGCTTTTCATTCCATGGCACCCCTGCTAACAAATATTCTACCATATTATGCTATCACGGCTATATTAAAATTAGAGAAAAAATGAAATATAACATCGTTACATAAATTATTTTTCATATTTGCATAAGGACGTGGGGGGAAACCCGCGGGAAAAAGCTAGTATATAATAAAGTACACACACCCAAATATTTTCTCTACCGAATCAAAGTCTCATGGAATCGATTTATACACACATATTAACCCCTCACCTCAATCATTATGACAGAAGATAAGCAGGAAAAACCCCAATCCTTTCACACCCAGCAAGGCATAAGAACGAGGTCAAAATCCCAAGCCGAAGAAGATGAAATCGCTTACAATCATAAAAAATTCATTTATGAAATTTCTAGACTGGGCAAATATTGCGTGAAGTGGTGGAGCATTAGCGAAACCGACCACAGTGAAGCAGGACTGAAAACATATCTGGAGCACCTCAAAAAATACCTGGCCCTGGTAGACGCAGCTAATGAAGCAATCCAGATCAGCAATGCAGATGAGAAGACGCGGAAAATGTGCGATGCCTCATACGACAACTCCAGTGACAACGGGTTGAACACAAAGCTGAGAATTAACGAGTTGCTCAGACAATTCCAGCAAAACTCGGAACCCATCAGAAACAACATATCCGTTTTGATGATGCTCCAACCCCAAACCGATTCGTACAATTACCTGAAATTAACTGCTTGTGATACTGAAGTCTTCTATGGAGGATACGAAGACTGGCCATCGTTCAGGGACATGTTCACAGCAGTGTACATAAATTACCCCAAATTATCTCAGGCTCAAAAGTTGTACCACTTAAGGCAAAAAACTGGCGGGAAAGCAGCCCTCCTTATTAAAAATTATGCCCTTAATGACGTAAATTTTGCTCTCGCTTGGGACGCACTCAAATCCCGCTACGAAAATCGTAGAATTGTCGTTGGCAATCAAATTAAAACTCTTTTTAACCTTCAGCCCGCACATACAGAAAACGGTGAAAAGATTCAACAAATTCAAACCACAATTAATAATTGCCTCTCTACTCTGAAAGCAACGGAGTTTCCACTGAAATCAGGGACCCAATGCTCAAATATCTCTGCTCCTCAAAGCTCCCAGACGAAACCCTAGCATTATGGGAGCAATCTCTAAACTCAAGAAAAGAGTTACCCCTTTGATCAGAAATGGACCAATTTCTTACAACTCGATACGTAATTGTAGAACGGCTTAGCACATATAGGACGAATAAACCAAAACCGCCTGAACGCACTTTCACTCCTCGGGCATCAACAACGGCCTCGCAATCGTTCATTGCTCGACCCTATTAAGCTGGCATTTCAGGGTACTATTTTATATATATATAAGGAAAATTTTAAAGTTAGGGGGGGGGGGGAACGGCTCGAGCACCCCTCCGCCCCTACCTGGCTATGCCCATGTGCTCTCACATTTCTCAAGCAGTAGAGAAATAACCTTACTCCCTACAGCAAATATTCCTATCTTCCACAAAGGAGAAGCAGTTCGAATTTGCGCTCTCATAGACCAAGGACCCCAAAAGACTTTTGTAACCTCTCGTGTACAAAAGCTACTTGGTCTACCCATAACCAAAACAAACTGTGAAATATTAGGAATGGGCGGACGAACAGTTCAGAATGCGAACAAAATATGCTCACTAACAATTTGTTCTCCAGATCTCAAAATAAAAATTGCAACTCACGCAATAATATTCCCCCAATTTACGCACTTTTTACCATCATTGAAGGTGTCATACGTTGATCTCCAAGAATACGCCTCACTGCCTCTAGCCGACCCTAACTGCTGCGCACCTGCCAGGATAGACATGGTGATTGGTAGCGACATTCTCCCCAAAATACTAATTCCAGGTCTTAAAACCAATGTTGGCGGAAGCTTAATAGCCCAAAACTGCATCTTTGGGAGAATATTAAGCGGCCCAGTTGCGGAACAAATCTCAACATTTTCCACCCAAGTAGTTGAAGGCTCAGCAGATTCCCTAGGAGATCTACTCAAAAGATTTTGGGAACAAGAGGAGGTTCCATCGGCTCCCACTCACACAGACGATGATGAATTTTTCAAGGGGCTCTACAAAAATACTACCTATCCGAGAGAAGACGGCCGCTACGTAGTATAACTCCCATTCAAGTCAATATTTCCCGACTCGGGGCACTCCAGACCCGCAGCTCAGCAGCAATACCTCAGCATCGAACGGCGCATCGAGAATAAAGCGGAACTCCAAAGCACATATTCAAAGGTCCTCGAAGAATACTTAACTCAAGACCACATCGAGCCCTCAAAGTCACTCGAAATCATACGTGATGGTAAATATTTCTCATTTTACCTGCCACATCACGCTGTGATTAAACCTGATAGTCCGAGTAGCTTTTAATGCGTCAAAACTCTCTCCCTCTCTCTTCAACGCGTATGTTATAAGTAAAGGATTCTCATAACCATTTCGATTGATACCCATATTTTAATATCTAATTCATTTAACTTATTAAATAATTTTAATCTAATTTGAAACAGGTGGCATGCCCTTTCAAAAAATTTGTGGCGCACGCAATCGAACTTGACCAGCAATCTTAAATATCAAACTAATCCGTCAAAAATACAACCCTGTAACGAAATAGATGTTTGAAGCGGCGGAACACAATTTATGACAGTTTCTTTTTCCACCTTCTTCTTTTGATTTTCCTCATGTCGACGAGATAGGGATCCAACCAAAAAACTGAAAATTCGTGATGGTAAATTAGTTGTAAGGAATACATAATCATTTAATTCGTTATATCTTTCGTGCGAGACCACAAAATAAAGCTTTAGTGCACATAAACAGGCCAAGCCCTGTAATTTGACACCTCACGTTTGAAAATGGAACGAACTATATGTACATACCTTAGTAAGTGGTTCAAGAACCCAAATTTTCACCTTCAAACTGCACCCAGAGTGAAATTTTGAAAATTATCGAAAAACAAATTGCATTTTTGAATTCACCGTCCTCACCAAGAAACAGATTTTCATATAAATCCCCTATAATTCTATAATTGCCCACATTTTATATAAAAGGGACGCACTGTGCGACTGTGCAATATTTCGCCATCCCACTTATATGCCCTTATTATGCTTTTGGTGGTGTTAATATTTATCTTAGTCCTTTTGGATGCTTCCTTTATAGTTAAGGCCCGTTTACATACAACTTTGGCGTAGCGTTGGCGTTGGCGTCGCCTCGACAGCTGATTATGAATACAAGCATTTATATGAAAGTCTCAACATAACCAAAGTTGGGCAACGCCAACGCCAACACAACGCAGAAAGATGGCCAACTGTCAACTTTTCGCGCGCGTCGTTCGTCAGCTTTTCCAAATAATCAAAATTATGTGATTTAATTTTCCTTTTTAATCAAACATAGTTTTTAACGCAATGATTGATATACAATTTTGATTTATCTGCCGCTAGTATGTTAATTTAGTGACCAAAGTATTCTCTGCTAAGCGTTCATTGTAGCAAGAACAGGCGTTACTCGCACTGCTGTCAAAGAGACGCTAGCGCCAACGCAACGCCAAAGTTGTATGCGGACGGGCCTTTATTCTTTCTTCATACTAAGAAATGAGAAGTTCTCTTGCATAAGGGCTGAGGCAACTATATCTTTCTCTATTTTCCAATACTGCCCATTTTTCTAAATGATTATGGAATTATTTCATATATCTCTATACTAATTTCCGTTACTCTACCACTAATATTTCAAGAGATATACAACATAAAAATTTTAGTTAGTATGGGAGGTGCCACGCCCCCTTTTCCGAAATTCGGGAAAACTTTACATAAACCATCTGCTTGATAGCCCGAATATGCTGCATAAGTGTGGTTGAATTCGGTGAAGCCGATCTCAAGTTATAAAGTCACACCAAAAACGTGTACTTATTTTTATATATAAGGTGCTATGCCCCTTATCCAAATTTCACATAAACTATCTGCATCATGGCTCGAATATGCTATATAAATTCGCTTGAATTCTGTGAAGCTGTTCTCAAGTTATAAGCTAAAACACTTATTTTTATATATAAGAATAGAGGTGCCACCCCCTTTTTTCCGAATTCAGGAAAACTTCACATAAACTATCTGCATGATAGGCCGAATATTCCGTACAAATTTTGTTCAATTTGGTGAAGCCGTTCTCAAGTTATGAGGCACACCAAAAACGTGCAATTTTTTATATTTTAGTTAGTATGCGTGGTGCCACGCCCCCTTTTCCGAATTCGGGAAAACTTCACGTAAAGCATCTGCATAATAGCCTGAATATTCCGCATACATTTGGTTAAATTCGGTGCAGCCGTTCTCAAGTTATGAGGTCACACCAAAAAATAAATTTTTATATATAAGATACTGTTGCTACCACATGAATATTGAATTCGAGATTAGAATATATGAATTCGTCTTGGATAGAACAACGTTATGCAAAGAGAAGGCGAGAAAGAGGAGATACCGAAAAAA